CTTGGGGAGGCTGGGGCTGATGAGGCCTCGGGGGACCAGCAGGACCCCCAGCCTCCCCAAGTGGAGAGAACCTGTTTCCCAGCTCCAGACTGGTGCCAGGAGAAGGAGGAGGCAGTGCTGGCCTCCTCCTCTTGTGGGTGACATACCTCCATGTCTCTGCAGCTGCTCCTCCTGTGGTCTCTCCCTCAACCCTCTGTCCAGAGGGGGGCTGCTCCGGGGGGTGGCTGGAGAGCTCTCTCGGCCCTCAGGCACCTCACCTCCTCTTCTAGCAGGGTCACCATCTTGCACCGAGGGCAAGTGTATCCCTGCCTCTCCTGGGAGAGAAGGGCGAACATGTCGTAGCTGTTGCAGCGGACAGCAACACCCGTGACTGCCGCCAAGGTCATGTCCTGGTCTGCCATTGGGATTCCTTCTGAGACCTTACCTTGGTCCCCTGCCTTGTTTGTCCTGCAGTTCCTCTCACTTGCCCAGTTCTCCCAAACACCCACTCTCACACACACAGAAGGATAAAATAAACTTAAATTAATAAAATAAACTTATATTTAAATTGGAGGAAAAACAAAGCAAAGCACAGCACAAAAAAACAAAAAACAAAAAACCTCTGCGTCCCAGGGAAGTCCCCGGACAGCCCGATCCACAGCTAAGGGATGCAGCCAAGGGACAACGCCCCACCCCTCTGCTTCCTCCTGGCCCCTCTAGCCTCTCTGGCCCCGACTGCTTCCTCTCTGCTGCTCCTGGCCCTCTGCTCCCCTGCCCAGCTCCTACCTTGCCTTCGCCAGTCCCCTGGCCACTCAGCACTCGCTCCCAGCCTGTGCCTCTGCTGCTCTGCTGCTCTGCCAAGAGGTCAGAGCCAAAAGCAATCCACATATGCCCTCCAGCCAGCAGTTTCCCATACGGTTTCAATACAGGAGGTAGTATATGGCCAGCAAGATTAGTAGTCATTGATAATATTCTCCTCTGTAAAATTATCCAATCCCCCTTTAAAGCTGTTCAGATTGGTGGCTATTGCTACATCTGGTGGAAGCAAATGTTTAAGTAGAACTATGTGCTGATTGAAGAAGTACTTTCTTTTTCTGTACAGTCTTTGATGTACTGAGCAACACATCCTTCAGTATACATTTCCCAGCCCTTCCTATACAGTATATATTCAGAGGTGACCTGTGGTTATTTCAATTCGACTAGGTTTTTGTAATTCCCACTATATCTAGCTTGTCCTTTAAATCCATGCACTTCAATCCTCCTATTTTTGTTCAGAGGCTTCTTATATTTGCATGGCAACACCTATACACAGTGTCCCTTTCCAGATGTCTCTGGTTGGTGCAGCTTCTGTTTTGGCACCTAGGCCTCTTTGACTATCATGTTTCACCATATGCTCATGGCCTATTTCCTCCCCTTCTACATTTGAGCAATCAGATGCATTTTTATCTTCACTCCCTAGGGATGATTTAACATGAACCGGATGTTTCCCAGCTCCTGTTGGCTTTTCTCCAGGGTTCAATTTAAAAGCAGTTTTGCCACCTTTTAATGTTCTGATTCAGCAGTCTGGTTCTCTTTTGGTTCAAGTGGAACTCGTCCCCTTGTACATGCTTAGTGTGTCCCAAAATGTTCCTCAGGGCTGAATAAATCCAAATTCCTCCTCCATACATCACTATCTCATCCATTCATTGAGAAACCTTGGCTTTGCCTGTGTATCTGCCCATGTTTGTGGAATGGCTGGCATCAGAGAAAGCCACTTGATGGTTTTGTCTAGCAACCTAGATTTTAGTTCTACCCCGCAGTGACATTTCCCCGTGTCATTAGTAACAACATACACCACAACCACTGACTGCGTCCCAGCACCAACTACAAACCTATCTGGATGGCACATGCAGACCATGCACCCATCACAAACCCAATGTGTCTGTGTGGCTATTATAGAATTTCTCACTACCAAAAGCCCCCAAACTCCCAAGAAGCACATCCTTAGTGGCAAATAATATTTGCTCATCATTTGAGGATTGGATCTCTTTCAGGGTTTCACAATGACAGTAACCAATGGGTCATTGGAAGAGACAACAGACAAAGTGAGGTGATCTGTGAAGGGATGAGGCTTGGAAGGGCTGAGTTCCTTATCATACAGGTGGGTGGGTGTTTTACGTAAATGGAAACCTAAGTACATTTTAAGTGAATTTTCCCAGCAACAAAATATTGTTCCCAAGTATTTTGATTTGGCTTGGTCTTGAATGGACAAATAAGCTCCACAAAAGACATGCCTTGGTAGAGATGAAAACTGCTAGATCTACTTTGTTGACATAGATTAACATAACTGCATAAATGCTCTGATTTCTCTTTCGCACTCATCTCTCCCTGCCATCTCTTTGCCCCCTGTTTTATTTATTTATTTAGTTAGTTATTTGTCTTATAGACCTCTTAAATAGTCCTAGCAGACTCAGTTGGACTTTGTATGTCAAGACAAGCACTTTAAATTGGGTCCAGATGCCATCTGGTAGCCAGTGGAGATGGTATAAAATTGGCACAATATGGGTGCATAGACTAGCTCTCACCAATAACTGTGCCACCCTATTTTGAACTAGTTGTAGTTTTTGCATTACAGTAGTCCAACTGAGAGGTTACCGGGGCATGGATAACTGGCAAAGTCCGTACGTCTGTCTTGTCTGGATTGAGCTTCAGTTTACTGGCCTTCATCCTCTGAGCTCAAACACAAGTTCAGAACAAAAACTGTCTCACCTGGGTTTGATGAAAATGAGAGCTACAGATGAGTGTCACCAACATACTGACATCTCAGCTTTATCTGACTCTTCTTCCTTTCTTCCCCATCCAAGTTTCCCTCCCTCCTTCCCACCCTCTCTCCCTTTTTCTCTCTTTGGTTCTTTTTTCTCCCCTCCCTTCAGTTCATCATTGTATCCCCTTCCCTTACCCTTTTTTGTTCTTTCTAGTTCTCCCTCTCCCTCTGATTCCTCTTTATTTTCTTGCGTCTTTTTCAGCTCTGCTTTTTCATCCTCCTCCACTCTCTCTACTCTATGGATTTTCTTTCGTTTTATCTCTCTTGCTGACTCCTCTTTCTTTTCCCTATTTTTCTCTCTAGCTTCTTTTACACTCTTTCCCTCCCTGCTTTCTTCCTGACCCATCCCCATAAAAGAGATGCAGCAATTTCTCCATTCATTTGCATGGGGTGAGAAAAAGCACTCTTGCTGAAAAGCTGCTGTCCCAAGGGACCCTGGGGACAGGGAGACTTGGGTCCCTCCCTCCAGTTTCTTTTTGACAAGAAAGCTTATTCACTCAGCATGCAAGTGAATGGAAGAACTGCTCCATTCTCTTGCTCAGAGGAAGAATAGCATATAGAGCACCTCAGCCTGGCCTTGCAGGAACCATGCAGGAACTTCCTGGACTAGACTTTATTCATCCTTAGGATGACTATAGTTTTTCTAGAACACACACATAATTTCTTCCTTTCTGGTCTCTGGCCCTGTGCTAAGTGAAGAGTGGGACACTGGAGTCAGGATTGCCTCCAGGGCTCCTACCTCCTCAGGCCACCTCTCTCCCACTCTCTGAGGTTGCACATGCACACAGGAGACTCTGTGTGTACAACAGAATGAACAGGCTCCATCCTGATTTGTACCGTACATCAATGGATGGTGGGAATCATTTGTTGGAAGACTGTGTACATTCAGGTGCATGTGTGCAGACTCTTGTGCAGATGTGGCCTTGAGGCCAGGTGAGTCAAGAGGCCAGTAGGTAAACTAAACCAACCCCACAAGATAGACCATACTTAAATTGGTCATCTGAGTAGGGTTCCTGTTACTACAACAGATGGACATATTATCAGGCTTTTTAAACGGTTTCTGCCAGGAGATCTTAGCTGAGCGGAATAAATTGCCAAATACTTCAGCTAATTGATTTCACAAGGCATGTAGCATACCACAGTACTAAGTACATATGTACAGACAAGTAATCTGTAATTATAGCTTCTCTGACAAATTCTATTTTTATGTATGCCTATACTTTTTTTTTTAACTGACTGTGAAACACAAAGAATAATTTGTTTAATAATTTAATTCGCTCTAGAGCCAGAATCTCAGCAGTCTAGCTCGTTTGGGACACTTTCAAGTTGCAGACTCTCAACTGGGAGCTTTCCAATTAGCCCCGAACAAACTCAAAGCGCACAAACTTGTGTGTGAAACAAGCAGCCGTTGGCACGCAACCGTTCCCAAGGTTGTGCTTCCTTTTTGCTTTTGCCTGAGATTTGGCGCAGGCGAGGGAAGGGGTCGGAGTCACATGGATACAAAGCTTTTGATTAATGTCCAAACGCTGCCGCCGCCGCTGCCGCTGGGGCTGCTTGAAGCGTCCAAATCTCTCAGTTATACAAAGAGTGGAGGGAGCCGGTGACCGCTCACTTCCTACAGGCTGGGTCCCTCTTCCTTACTGGAAGAGGACACTGGGGCGGCGGCGGCGGCGACTTTGAGGGGGGTGGAGGGACGAAAGCAATTCCTCTCTACTGCTTGAACACGGAGGGAAGCTCGACAAAGCGCCTGCGAGCCGAGCCGCAGATGCCCAGCCCCACTAAAGAGCTGAGCGGGCTCTTTTGTTGTCTTTGCTGAACTTTGGTGGAGGAACCCCAGAGGCGATCCTTTGCCTTTCTCCAGGAGGCTGGAGAAGGAGCAGGGGAAAAGTTGAGCAGGCTCTCCTTCCTTCCTCTTCTCTATTTCTCTTCCCCCCTTTAGAGTGGGGGAGGAGGACAGAAAAAAATGACAGAAGAAAGCAAAGGGGAAGGGAAAGGAGAAAGCGGGAAAGACCTGGAGAAGCAGCTGCGCCTCAGGGTGTGCGTTTTGAGTGAGCTGCTGAAGACGGAGCGTGACTATGTGGGCACTTTGGAGTTTTTGGTGTCGGTGAGTTAACTGCACGATGCTTCTGGTTTGCGTTGCTCCCCTGGACGCCTTTTCCAAACTTGCACGCAAACAGCCTCCTGTCTTCCTTCCCCCATCCTTCCCCCTTGCCAAGTTAGCCAGCAGAGAGGAGGAGGGGATGCCAGGAAGGAGCCGATCTTTGGGCGAGCGATGCCTGCAAGCGTTTCTCCCCGGGGGCACGGGATTCCTTGAGTTCAGTACAGTCTGGACAGGAATGTGGCCCTTAAGAGGTACAACCAGGTTGTTTGTGCGTGACCCGAGCTAGTTTAGCATGCTGTGCTCAGGTTCCCCAGAATGCGAAAGCGAATGCTACCAGCGCTCAATCCTCTGCTTCTCTAGAAACTCTCGCATCACCATCAGATAACTCCTCTGCGCATTAAAACTGAAAAGTACCACATGATCTTCGCTAAGATGATCTGGATGAAGAGCGTATGGGGCATATACCAACTGTTGAAGGTTAGAGTTTCAGCTCCGAAGGCGCCACGGTCTCTGTATTTACAATAAACCTGGAAACAAAGTATTCTGGCAGGGGGTAACAGAGAGCGAGAGAAAAGAGCGCCGAGGGTTGCGGGGTGCTTGATCTACAGCAGCTGTTCACTATTAAACCCACATGTAGCTTTCCCCTTCTTTTTTAACACCCCTTGACATCATTCTTTTCAAAAACTTGTTCTGATAATAAGTTGATGAATGGTGATTGAAATAAATAAGTCCTGTCTAACTTAAAGTCCAGTGATTTCAATTGGTATACTTTAAGTTTGACTAAGTTTAGATCCAACTCTACTTGTTGCTTATTAAAAACACATGTGCACGCAATGCACTGATAAGGTATACACAATTTCTGTTTATCGATGCCACTGTAATGCTTGTTTTATTAGAATTTTGTGTAATAAAAAGGTGCTTGCTTTTGGATAAAGCAGTCTAAAGGAAGGAGAGACTTTACTGTGCAGGACTATAATAAAGACTAGCAACCCTGCCCCATTTCCACATTTGTTGGCAGCATCGCTTTAGGAGTTTAGGGATAAACAAACCTCAGATTGTCTGCTTAGTTCTGTAGAGTGCCTGTCATAATATCCCTCACATTTTTTTAATCTCTTCTCTCCCCAACCCCACCATCCTGTCTGAAAGGAAAAAAATCATCCAAACAGCAAACTTCCTGCGTAGTTTTCCGAGAGCTCTGAACTTTCTACTCATTATCATGCAAGAGAAAATTCTTAACTTGGCATTTGGCCCAAGGAACAATAGAGATACTGAAGTAAAATATGTTCAGCAGAGTAGTCTTGTAGTCAATTCTGTAATTACAACGAAGATGCACATCAGCTGAACAATATGATTGTCAAATTTATTGACAATCTTTATTATTTTTTATTCATCTCCTTTTTTTTTTTTTTTACATAAAGGCTCAGTATAAAAGGTTTTTGGTTTGTGTTCCCAATCTGATGAATCTGAAAATTTAAATTGAGTCAAAAGATGGTAACTCCTAGGTTTGAATATGACTTGCTTTAATAACTTGTTTAATAACTGCAGGGGATGCAATAACTGCAGGATGATTTTCAGCTATGCTTTAGCACATGCCAGGCATCCATGAGCATCCATTCTACAACCTGTCTACTGCTCATAGACTGGCATGTGCTCCAAACCCAGCAAGGGTGGGTTGTTGTCACGGTTATCATACCACCAACAACCTCAAACAGCCCATTTGTTAACCATGCCAACAATCCATCCTTACTAGTTTTAGATGACATGGCAACCTAGAAATCACACTAATTTATTTAAGCCAGCATGGCTGAAAATAAATTGTGTGGACCAAGCCACTGTTTGCCATTCCTGAATAATTAAGCTAAATATTATAGCTTAGTTCTGGCTACAAGTGTTATTGTTGTAGCTGGTCTGAAAGATGAAGACAAGTAAAATTTAACATCAATGAAATTACAGGATACCTGGAGTTTTAATGGGTCAGATAAGGCTCTGGTAAAACATGAATGTGTGTTTGTACTATTTGCATGTACATGGACTTGTTTAAAAGCAGGGCACAAATGTGAATGGATGGCTCAATGATAGAACACAGGATTTGTATGAGGAAGACCCTGGCATCCCCAGTTTGAAAAGGGACAGGTTGTAGTAATGCGAAAGATCTCCACCATAAATCCTGAAGAGTTTCAGTCAAGCAGAACAGTCTAAGGGTAGGAAACCTGTGGAATGCAACTTCTAGCATCCCTTACCATTTGCCATGGCTGCAGGGGCTGAAGGAAGTAAGCGGATGGAGTCCAAAAGTAACTGGAGGGCTGCCAGTTCTTAACTCCTGAAGTAGATTGTAATGGACTAGATTTGCACACAGTCTGGCCAGTGGAATTGGCCCTTAGAATTCAGTCCTCCTATCAATTAGATATATGGACGCTTACAAAGAAAGTTATCTCTGTTGCAGGGAGATAGAAGTATTGTTAAGGTCAGGGAGGTCAAGGCGGTCCTGTATTAAATTGAAAATTAAATTTTGAAGGCACCCCAACTATATTGAACAAGTACAGTTCATCCATATTATAGAATTCTAAGAAAATTAGAAGCACATGGTTCAGGGTTTGGCCTCTTCATTCTCATTTCATTAGCACTTGGTGCAATTCTTCCTTCTAGGGTTCTGGGTCCCGAATACCAGCTGCACCTCTACCTCTTCTTGATCTATTCGCCTTGGCTTTTGATTAATTCAAAAGTCTCATTTGCCTGAGACAAATCTCATTCATGGTTGGTGTGGGGGTAGGCAGGGTTAGTCCTTGCATCTTGGTTAATCTTAAGGATGGCATGTAAACCCCACCCTCTTTCTTTACTCTTCTGTGGTCCTTGCTCTGCTTATTTTTCCTTTTGCTTTGGTATAGTAAGCTTGGATCTCAGAGAGCAACCCTGTTTGCTGGGGTGTTTCAGGGTGTGGAATGTTCTTATACATATAGGTTCCATATAGCAATAGGACACTTCTTAAAAAAAAAAGTTCCCCTGTAAATAATTAACTATTTGATCTTGTCATGCGATGTTGACCACCATGGAGTAAGCTATACTGAGAACCATGGAACGTATTTTTGATTCCACTGTATTACTGTTTGTTGGGAATGAGAGGGGCAGTTGCTCTTGGTGTGCATTCCCAGCTCATGCTGGACTCAGCAAAGGAGGAGGAGATGGCAGTGGAGGGGCCCTGGGAATGTGGGGCTCCGGACTTTGAGGTGAGAAAAGTGAAGGGGCTTATCTCAAGGCCATACTCCCCAAGTCTCAGGCAGGATCTGAGAATAACCAAGATGTACAGCAGTTAGGGGAAAGGGGGAGGAGCTCTCAGAGTCAGATAAAGCTGGTATGACCCTTGACCACATAGCATGGCATTGGCAGAGGAGGGCTAGCCAAATAGAGGGTCGGCGTACAGAGAAAAGGCATGCTCACTTCCAAAATGACCCTCCTGAAGGAATCAGGTCCAGACATACTCAAAAGGAGTGTTTCTGGAAGTAGCTATTAGGTCGGGTTCAATTAACTGCTCTGTGCATGCTCAGAGATGCTTTCTGAAGTGATTATGTTTATTGGATATACTCTAGTGAATTGCAAAGGAATAGTCTGGAAAGTGTAAAGGAAGGAAAATCTAGCTCATGACACTAGTGTGCAGAGTAATTACTCAACATGAAATTATTTTGTGTGGAATGCTAGTAGCTACCAACTACTGTGTCAAGGATAGAACATTGGGTAAGTTGTATAAATTGTTAGGGATCTTTACCAATAGATTAATTAGCACTATTTTAGAAATGTGGGCAAATATTCAATAGAATTGGATTTTTTTTTAAAGAATTGGACTGTAGATCAGAAAAAATATGAGAAATGATCTAATATTCTAATATTTTTGAAGCTTTTAACCATGATATTGGGTCTATTGGTGATTTCTATGAGGACCAATAACATCAAAGTTAAATTGGTTTCCTTAAAGACAGTTCAGTGCAGCAAAGGATACCTTGATGATTACTAAACATTCTATTGTTCAAGCCATCTTCAAAGTCTTTAACCAGTTAATGAATATACTGCATGGTCCAGACAGAGATGGTAGGATTTGAGCTGCTTCACAGTCCTGATTTAAAGGCAAAACTTAGAGAACCCACAGAGTTGGTTGAGTCATACATATACAATAGAAAGGTAGCTGGGTGGGATTCATGCAGAGGCTCAATGGTTAGATCCATACCAACTCATCGTTTGGTTTGGTATCATAGGATGACTTCTGCTGGCTTGGACTCACTACCAAAAAGAAGCCACAAGCTCTTATGATAAATTAGAAGTATACTCAGAATCACTTCCTTTGAACATGTACTTGCACTTATTGTCTGGAGGCAAAGGGACAAGCTATCCCTGCCTTTTTCTAATGTTTACAACATATTTTGATGCTTCTCTTTGTGGGTGAGGCCATATCTGCAAAGTGAAGGAGGATTACTTATGAATAAGCATCTCAGGCTGGTATTCCTATTCCTAAGAAGATCCACTGATGTAGAACCTTTCCCAGTCACATATTTGTCTCATTGAAGGGCTGCAACCTGTTTCAGCAACACTTGAGTACATATTCTTGTCTCAGTGTATAATAAATGTAATATAAAGATGAATTTTCAGTTTGCTGATTTTGAAGGATGGAACCTCTAGTTACTGAACCAACGTATATATTAGCCCTTCACCTATTTCCAACCTTGGTTCCATTATGCTTCCTGTTTAAACCTAACTTCTTGCTCACAAAGAACCTGGCTCTTCTTTTTTACTATGTGGATCAATCAATCCTGCCTTGATTGATGCTATTTTCTTTGATTATGCACTTTTCTAACCTCTCTAGTCCCTCAGTTTTCACCTACCAACTTCTTTCTTGGACTCAAAGTCTGATTTCAATGTTGGTTCATCTCTGACAGTGGAATTTTGATAATGCATTAGGAAGGTCGCCTCATTTAAACACCATTACATGTTGAGTCTTCAGATTGCAGTGGAATGTT